ACGCGCGTCTTTTTTTAGTAGCCAACGCAAGAAATACGCGTATTGAGTTGAGTTTGGCTACTGGAGCGTATGTCTCAAAGTCATCCTTCAGAAAGTCTTGTGTAAATCCTTGAGCACAAATGCGGGCCTTCAGCTGCCCAACTTCCCCATGTTCGCTCATTTTAACGCGAAACACGATGGTCGAACCAATTTTACGGGAACCAAGTAGGGTTTTCACCACGTCGAACTTGTCGTTGTTATGTAAGGCCTCAATTTCCCTCCTGATTGCTTGCTCCCATTGGAGCCACTCGTTTGATGCTTTTGCTTCGTTTTCGTTGAGTGGCTCGCGAAAAATTTCTCTCAGGGTAACGTGGGCAGCGCTTGGATCGAGTCCAAGCGAACGGTTTGCAACTCGTTCGGATCGTCGGGTACGCGTCAATTCATTAGTACCGTTCAGCTCTGCCACTTGAGAGGGAGAAAAAGCATGGTCGGATTGGTCGTGCTGGATAGTGCTCCGATTGAGTCTCTCTCAGACCACGCTGGCTGAAAGTCTCTGACTCACCCCTACCCCAGCTCGAGTCGGCTGAAACTTCATCTTGCTGTTCTGCATCTTCATTTGCACTCGTGGCTGCTTGGAACGGGTCCTCGTGGCTGCTCGGGTCGCGAGAAGCTGCTTTGGGTTCGGAGGCTCGAGAAAAATGACACTACGGCTGTGAGCTACCCGGTTTCCTTGCCCGGAAACGTACACGAAATACCCTTTTCTTTGCGGATCACTTCCGATGAATACGCCTGACCTTCCCTTTGTTCTGAATTCGTAAGCTGTAGTGATTTAATTGTTGAGTTAAGCGAAGAGAATCCAGTACACAAATCTGAGGTCATCAACGGCTCCAAGCTGGCTACCTCAACATGACCCACATCCGCTTGCTGCAGTATGGTACGAGTGGTTGCACGCTTGTACGCATCTCGCTATGTCAAAAAGACTAACGTTGTTCGAGTTTTGACACACCAGAGGACGTATGATATTGTTCATATCCAGTGGATTACGTCGGGCTGCATTGGGCAGCTAAAGTTCTTTGTCGCCGTTTGGCTGTGCTGCATCACGTAGTCCCTGTTCACTGCAATTCTGGCACTCGGACCTTTTCGAGTGGTATATGCCCTCGAGGAGACATAGATTTTACTGTAACACTGTTCTAGTAGTACGTTGTTCTTTTTGGGACACTTTTGGCTGTAGCTCGTACGGTATATAGTTTACTAACCATTGTTGTTTTTCCTAGCGCCATGCGTTCCTTAACCATCGGCTTCTCAGTGGAGCTGAATATGCTGTACATGGCTCGCTTTTGAAAGTCTACCACGACGAAACGTTGATGTGACCGCCTAGGTCCGCGTGCGGAAATAATCGTTCTGGGAGATCGCGATTGCTTCGCATTCCTTCACTATTGCACCGGACGAGCTGGGGCCGCTAGTATCATGACGAGGATGGAAGGTATTCAAAGCTCATGGGAGCCATCACAAAACTCCAAAAGTGAGGTCCAAGCTTTGGTGTCGATTCGACACTGTGAAGTATGCGTTGATGAATGGCGTTGATGAACAGCAGGGAGATAAACTAATTTGTTGGTTATACTTTAATTCTTTGGTCGGATACAGATTAGTTTCGTCTCACCCTCGACGCCTCTCAGATTGCGACTGCGATGCGACGGTGTGCACTTATAGTGAGCTGTATGTTGGTTGAATAGAGCGCGTTCATCGAGAGCAGCAGGTTTAGAGCAGGAAGTACTCGCTGCTGCACTGGCACTTACAAGCATCATGCCGATGCCGTATGTCAATCTCTTTCCGCCTCACGAGGAGTTTTAAATAAAGTCTCTGCTTAGGAATCACGCAATGCCAATACTACTACAAAATCGGTCGCTCTGCTTTGTATTTGTGTCTGGCGGTCGGTACTGTGCCTTTCTTCGCTTTGATGATGCTGTACAAACACGTTTACATCCATCAGCTCGTTCTCGAATAGAATGGTATTTTCGCTAATGGTTTAAAAATGCAAACTTTGATAAAAGACGCTGAATATATATTTTTAATCGGTGTTAAATCTTGGTTTAAAAAAACTACCGATCTATCTCGTCTATAGATTATTGCGAATCAAACAAAAAAACAATAGAAACGGAATTTATTCCTAAGACCTAACCACTTTGAGCAGGTCATGGACTGAAAAATTTCTAAGCCCGTAGACGTCCTTGGGAAGCACTGGGAGAAGACATCGACCCCTCTTGAGCTTAGCATCTTGTCAGCAACGTAATAATTGGGTTTCAGTAGCTCAATTGACGCGATGCCGGACCCAAAAAGCCTTTACAGCTCGCTTTAGTGCATCTTCGGAGAATCCTATCGCGATATTTTACTTTTTCCTGCCGAAGGATCTGTGGCGAAAGATTGCAGCCGAGACGAACAAGTATCGTACGGACAGCATCGACAGTACTTCGCAGCAAATGCGTGCACGGGCACGTCAGCGGCGCGAACGCGTCCCCTCAACAATAGTGCTGACCATTGATGAGTACAAGGCAAAACTAGCGCGCAAGCCATCCATCCGGCCCCACGAGATCATTCGGTTCATCGGTTTGCTTATCGCACGAGCACTGGAGCCACGCCGAGAGAGTCTAAGTCGGCACTGGGTCACGAAGGTCAAGGGTGCACTCGCGCGCGGCACGTTTGGCCAGTTCTTGAGTCGGGACCGGCTCCAAGACATTGCGCGGTATCTCCACTTCAACGACAACGAACGACAGTCCGACAGTGGGGATCGGGTCTTCAAAATTCGGCCCGTGGTTCAAGCGTTGCAGAAGATGTTCTTCAGAGGATACCGAATGGGTGCACGGATTTCGTTCGACGAAGGGATGGTGCCGATGCGTCATCGCCGCAGCCCAATGCGCCAGTACATGCCGGCAAAGCGATACTCCATCCAACGCTTGATTCGCATGCGGAAGTACTACAAGACGATATTTCTCGGTCTCGTTGATATTGCAATGGTGAACACGTTCATCGTCCACAAGATTGCGATGCGCAGCCGCGGGAAACCGGTGCCGACCCATGCGGCATTCATGCGGCGACTGTATACCGATCTGCTGAATTAAGCAAGTGAGGATTTTGCTGCTGGTGACGACTTAGCAGGTCTAGTTACAGAGCCTCTCCCATGTCAACCTCACACACTCGAGAAGACCAAGGAAATGAACGGCGTGAAGCGTCGTCAGTGGTTGTGCAAGGTGCGCTCAGCGTACGCTGGGCCTGGCGTACGGAGCTACGAGACCAGCTACTTCTGTGCTTCGTGCTCAACGGTCAAGAAGGGGAGAGTCACCTTGTGTAACAAGGCGCGCAGATTGGGGCACGGCAGCGCTCTAACATGCAATGAGGTGTGGCACCAGAGCTGGAAGAACGGCATACCCATCCCCCCAGAGATGCAGCACAAGATCAGGTTTGTTAGGAAGCGTAGGCCCGAAGTTGAGAGCGAGGTCGACGAGGAGTAAGTGAATGAGCAGTTGTGTGAGTTCTAGTGTTGTCTCGTTGTTGCTGTACGGTGTAACGGTTTTGCAGGGAGATCGCAATTGAAAGTTTTATGGACAAGTTCTGTTCTGCACATCATTCACAATTAGCCAATCACATGCCATAATCTGGACACGTGTCACGCGAAACGGCTCACAACAGGGTAAATTGTACTGATTTTCCGGCATACATTAACTCATATATTAAGAATTACGGATACTCCGGAATAATCTTCGGATTAGAGGGGTTAACAGAAACTTGTTATGGGTCCCGGAAATACCCTATGGAAACAGTACGCAGGAGATGTATTAAAACTAGAGGCCTGCAATAAAATGAATACACGTACAAGTACGTGAACGGAGCAAGCACATTGCTGCATGTTTACACTTCATTAGACACTTGGCGACGTTGTCAGAGGCTCTGATCTAATAAACAACTTTGACTTTGTTTTAGATTTATGGTACTAACACACACTTAGCTTTAGTATGCGAGTACGGCTCTCATTACTCTATTCACATGTAAGTATGCTATCGGTTTCTCTAGCGCAAAGGTACCATACCATACCATCATACCATCACCCATTGGAGAATTAAAAGAAGAATATATCTGTAGTAGCCACATATAATCCAGAGCTGTCCCGTACAAATGCGCAATAATATATGAAAATGTTGAAAAGGGAAGCTGCAGGTGGAAATAGCACACCTTTCACCTTCAAAATGGCAAGTTCGTAGCTCAAGATGGCAAAATGTAAATTCAAAATGTCACCTCGTCTGAAAAGCGAACAAAAGCGATATGTGCTTCTCAGCGAATATGCCATGTGATTAGATACTACAGGTCTTGGTTGATAAACACTTCGCGCGAGAGTGACCGTCTCGGTTTGCCGATCTTAATGGGGATGCTGCATTCACCCACCATCATTACGATCTACGGAGGGGCCTGAATTTTTGCCGTGGTGAAGAATTGACAGCGTTAACGGCGCGATGTTTCAATCTAACAAATGAAAGCAGAGATGATTGGCAGCAGTATAAGCAGTTGCCATTTTGAAGGTGAAAAGGTGCAGACAAAAATATGTGTGATATATGCAATGCTGCAGTTATTAATACTTGTACAACTTAGCACGAGAAACGCAATTATGTTGCATACTTCAAAGTGTTTAATAGTAGCCTTACTATTTTTGATAAGTTGTCTTTTAATGGGTAAGGCGCAATGGAGTCGGGCGTAAATACATGTATATGAAAAAAAAACGAATCCAATGAGCGAGCTTGAGTTAGTGATGCACAGACGAGCTGGCTGATTGTAAGCGTAAGAGCTGACACGCTTCGCAAGCTAACGGAACGTCCGAAAAACAAGCTAGCAGTGTGTCTAGTAGTATACACTGCTCAGGTGTTTTCATAGGAGCGGGAGATTAACCACTTGGTGGAGTTGTACGTAATATACTCCGCAAGTAATTTCTTGCAACAGGCGATCTCTTTCCATCTTCTAGCGAGAAAGGCTTGAATCTATTGAGCTGTTGTATTCTTCTTCATCTTGTTTGCTTGTCGATCCTGCCTTGTCGTTCTTTTTCCGTTTCTCGCGCTTCCGCCTCTTGCGTTTTTCCTTCTGCGTGGCAGACAAAGTCTTGCGTTTTTTACCTTTTTGTAGCGTATCGACTTTTGCCGTGTCTTCCTTTAACAAAGTTGGTAAGGACGTCAGATTAGTGCTGCTGGGTGTCTCCTGCCCTTGTGCAATGCTATCAGCTCGTTCGAAATACGCCACAAAGAATCCGTTAGTCGAGTCCTCGAGCCCATTGGCTCGCACTAACGCTTGGGCCTGTTCAGCCGTCAGCCCTGCAACTTGAAGCCCACGACGTGGCCACGACGTAAGCGCTGGTTTAAGCACAAATGGACGCGTCACGCCGCTGTTCTCTTCTGATTCCAGAGCTGCAGCCACAACCTCCTCGTCTTCTTTCTGGAAAATCGAACACGTCGAGTACACGACACGTTTGACCTGTGGGAAGGAAAACGCTTTGCGCAGCGCCTGTAGCTGAAAGTCAGCGAGCGATTGCAAACGTTTCGCTGTGTCTTCCTCGTATTCCGCGCCATGGTCAGGCTCTAGTACCGTGTCATGCGAACTAGCAATGTCTAGCAAGTGATCTAGGCGGTTTGTCATGCCTGAACCAGAGCAAGATGGATCGAGTAGAATGCTACGAACATTACGGTACATGTCGTCATCCACCGGCACGTCCAGGAAGCTCTGGAGTTCGACTTGTACTCGAGTCGCCGCCCCCGCGAGCGTCATACGGCGCTTTAGTAAGTCGAGTCGCTTGGGTGACCGATCGAACGCAAACACGCGTCGCTTGGGACATGTGGCGTCCTCTCCGTCGCCATCTTGTTGCTGCAAGAGCATGGCGAGATGACTCGTCTTGTTGCCAGGCGCAGCACACGCGTCGATGACGTCGCCCTGGTTGTCCTGGGCTTCCGCGTGCTCTCCATGCAGCACATAGGCCGGGAAGCAACTGGCTTTATCCTGTAGCACGAGTTTTCCGCTCTTGACCATCTCGTGCTCGTGCAGCTCCGTGCCCGACGGTAGTACGAGCAGGTCGCGTACGTCTCGGTCCTGTTTGGCATCGTACTCGCTCGCAAAGGCCTTAGCCTCCTCGGGCGAGGCCAGTAGCGTGTTAATACGCACGTAGCGAGGCAATGCAAGGTGTTGCTGACGGTTCTCGGGCGGCAGCAACGCCTCATTGGACGCCACTTTGCGCTTAATTTTAAGTCTCGCCAGCGCCGCGCGGAAGCTCGTCTGGTGCTGCATAAGCGCCTTCTTGACGTAGCCACCGCCCTGAATCTTCTGGCGACCGAGCAACAGGTCGTAGAGCGCCACAAACACGAGCGCAGGCGGCTCCTTTGCGTTCTTGGGCGTCTTGAGAGCCTTGTAGCACTCGGGCACGGCCGCCAGCAGCTCGCGAAGCAATGGTTTGTAACGCAGCGTCTCACACACCAGCGCGAACGAGCTGCGTTTGTGCACTGTAGAGTCCGCATACGCCAGGCTCTTGAGCCCACCCTGACGCTGCTCCAGCTTGTGCAGGAGCGCCGCGGCCTCCTTATACAGTTCGCTCATGCTGGTCAATACAATCGATGACTGGTCCGGCAAAATGTAATGTTTAGCTTTAAACAAATTTAAGTTTCAGCTTTAGCTACAGTCAAAATATCAATCGGTAGTCTAATCCAAATATTTGGGGTTCTGAGACTCAGAATCAGAATCTGAGCAGTTGTTGTCATGTGATTACTCATCATCAGCGCCAAAACAAATTTATATTTTAGAAAAAAAATATCTTTCTCAGTAGTAAATATCAATAGCAGCTTAGATTTTCAAAAGTTGACATTTTTTTAATATTAGCTCGAAGATTTAAAAAATATTAGATACTAGATGATACTTTATGACATTTTACTTAAGTACGTTTCTTGCCACCTTACCCTCTGCTGAGTGAACCGAGGGCTCACCAAAGAACTCATTCGGTCAGAATCTACGGCAGCAGTAGTGATGGCAGGCTTTAAAACTGACGAGTATTTGCTCTATTGTACTGGCGAGATGAAATGCACCACCAAATGTTGCCCAATTACCCAAATTATATAAGATTTTTTGTTGTTGGAATTAAGTAGTCATAATCAGTCTTGAATATCTGCTCAAATTCGCATGCTACACTACACAAATAGTATTTCACTGTGACAGGCAAGTCGGCACTTTCTTTTGAAACGATAATAAATAATGTGCCCTTATTAATAAATGTTCTGGAAGCTAGCTCTTCTCTGACAATGCCGTTTCGATTTTTTAAGGGATTTGCTAAGTCAAAAAGTAGTATGGATCTGACATTTGGTGATATCAGAGGAACAAGCACGTCTACTACCAGGGGTTAATGGTGACTCCAGAATCGGTGAAGTAACATCGCAGCTAATTAAAAATATTTCATAATATAATCTTCTGAGACGAAATGATATTCTTTAGTTTCTGGCTTAATTAAAGTGAATACGATATTATATTTTCAATGACTGCGTAATCGGTTTTAATCCACCGACCGATGAAGCCCGGAACAATTGTGAGAGTAATAGTAAGGTTGGTGTGGTGTGTTGACACTGCTGAGCGCCTTAATCTAGCGTCACAGGCTACAGATTTATTTAGATGCACGATGTGGACGAGGCTGTCGACAGAGAACAAGAACAAACACCTTGGTTTCGCTTTATCGACTTTAAACAACTGCAACCGTTTGCATTTTTTAAATCTCGATCGCCTACATGCCTGCAGATTAACTAATTAAGTGCAGGTGCGCTGAGCCGATTACATGTACCTGTTTTGAAGTGTGTAATTTCAAATGATTATTATCTGTCACTACAGCTCTTATCACAGGCTCATAGATGAGTTACCAAGCTGCTCAAAGTTTGTCATTGGCACTTTAAAATTAGTTTACCGGCGTCCGTAACAGGTGATAGCTCGTAGTAGTTTACTTTGTCACGCTATCAGCAAAGGCTACTCCTTTCAGGCCACCTCTCTCGCCGGGGTTGGCCGACTACTGTATGCTGATGGCGCCCAAGATTCGGCACTGCATATCCTCTCGCACGATACAGTGCTTACTCACTTTTGACGCTGGAAAGGTCCGCAAAATAACATCTGGCCACGAAAAGAGTACAGTAAGGAATACAATCGAAGTTTTGCCAACAGTTGGACTGATGTCCAATAGTAATATGAGAATTCTGAATATTCAATTTTCAAAATACTATCGCCCTCTGGCTCGATAGTAATACCACGAAGTCGCTTTCACTAAATTTGGTGGAAAAAATCAGATCGACTCAGCCCATTCGTTTCCACTTTTTCGCATCTTTCGTCCTGGTGAACATGACGGACGCAGTTACACAGGCGAAGCTTAGCGGATCCATTGACACACCTTTGAGATCAGTACTGTTTTCGTGCCTGGAAGACGTAGCGCTGCTAACGACCGCATCAGAAAAAAATGGGAGGAAGAATACGTTGAGAAATTCAGCGCTGCTGCTCTGCTTAATTCTATCGTGGGGACGTCGTAAGTTTATCGAGAGCCGTTCGACCGAGTGGTCAGCCGTTTAACGACTCGTTTGCCATCACGGCAACGTGTCACTGGACGCCAAAATAGTTCGGGACGGGCGATTCTTCAATCATTTTCGATGCCACCGTCATGCTGTCAAGTCTCAATAAACGCAGTCAAACGCGATGGACTATTTGTTGTCACGAGTCAAAGACAGAGGAAGAATGGTCTAATAACGACGAGTGTACTCCTCCCACCGCGCTTGATACCACGGATCCAGAGTTGGTGGAACACTCCCCACAGTGCGTCGCGGCGCTAGAGAAGGCGATTGTCCTAGCGACGGTACAAGCCGAAGCGCTCGCTACAAATCAGCGCCGACGACGTGTCCGACGGGTGTCCAAAAATTGCCGTACACTGAGCAAATTGGACCTTACGAGTGCGCATTTCAGACGCGTGCAGAGCTCCAAGCCCGGCTCGAACCAGACCGAGACTCGGCGTGAGATTTTGGCGAGGCAAGAGATGCAGCGCATGCGTCAACAGGTGTTGGCTTTGGAGAGACGACAAGCGCTGCTCTCGGCACTGAGCCTAGCTCGTCGAGCGAATGCCATGCAGCTCGTGGCGGACAAAGTACACGCGTACTACCGCAGCTTCTCGCACGGATACGACCCAAACCACAGCAATGCGCCGATGGTTGAAGCGCTGCTGCGAAGCATGATGCTACCAGACGTGCAGTCTTCCGCTTTCCGTGACCTAGACACGTTCCTAATGCAGTGGCACAACTACTCGCGCTACCACGCAGAGATCACGCTACATTGCCAGGAGATCCAGCCGCTGCAGAGCGACGACCCGGACGTGTATCCTGTCCAGTGTATTGGCCGAAGCACCCTGCGAATCTCACGTGACACTATCAAACATTTCTTTCAGCCACTTCTTGCGGATGAAGACATGGTACAGCGTCTTGTCGGCAAGACTTATGACTTCCCCTTCGTATCGCGCTTTCACTTCAATTCTACTGGTCGAGTTTTCAAACTGGAGCCCCGTGCCGAGTTGGCAGCAGGACTCTTGGACCTCGTTGTGGATCCGTTTTCTACAGTACGCATGCTTGGTGCCTCCAGGTTGACTGACGATGGATGTCTTCATGCTTACTCTAATCAAGAAAAAGCTGTAGTCGAGGGTTCATGAGGCTGCAAGCTTAATGCAAAGTTGATAATCTTACTGTGAATTCCGGTCCTACAACATTGAAGCACATGCAACATTTAGGCACTTGCACTCACTTCAAAATTACCAGTTTTTATTGAAATCGCAAGCGCTAGCACGTGAGCCTATTCGAAGTGATAGCAGGAACTACATCTAAATAGTACGCTCTAACTCTTAAATCTGAGTGAGTTACAACCACCGATGTAGTGCGTGATGCGCGGAGTGTGGCGTAATAAACTAACCGAGAAAAACGTTTTTTAGTCAGCCTGGAACAATTATAAACCATTAGAAATGTTTATTGAAGTTGTATGCCAGCGAGCTCGGGTTGGACCAGATGGGCCGTCGTAGAGGGGTAATGCATCGTGTTGCACTTGGCCCGCGTGGCGTTCATCGAACACCTCCCACCCCTCTGCTTGAAGTCTGTCAAGCTCTGGACCAGTCACGCTAAACTCCACTGGCACTTCGTCACGCTCAGTTGCCACGTCGTCATCAGCTTGGTCATCAACAGCAACAGCAACTGCCTCGTCCTCTTCATCGTTCTCGTCCGCCAGAATGGACTCTTCGTTAGCTTCCGCTTCGGAATCTAGAGGGATCAACCAGTCGCCACCTCCAATGTTTATATCATCAGCATCAGTTGGCCCAAACAGCCGGTCCCGTCGCAGTGCATCCAAGAAGGTATTTTAATCGAAGTCATCTAGAGAAATTCCAGATTGCTCCGCGCTTGGAACTGCTGTCGGAGTGGGTACCGCCGTAATAGACGATTCAGAAGTTTCCTCAACCTCGACAGGGGTATCCGGAACAGGTTGCGGGGTATTATCCGTGGTATGTAAGGTCGTTTTCTGAACACCAGGAACTGCACAATCCGTAACAAGAATTTTAATATATATTTCGCAACAGTCAGCATCAGAAACTCAAACGTACCAGTACGGGGTCGTTTCGTAGACGTTCTTGTACTCGATGTCTTGCGCTTGCCTTTCGGTCGAGGCTGCGGATCCGTTTCAATGTCGTGTGCCGAACTAGTTGCCTTGCTTGCGGGTCGTGGTCTGCTAGAACCTCTGGCCTTGCCAGGGGCAGGTGGTACGCTTGAGATAGTCAACGCTCTCGCTGGGGCAGTGGCTTTGGCAGCAGCCCTCGGCCAAGCAATCGCAGTGTTCTTCGCAGCAGCTTCCTTCGGTGCGGCAACGGGTGCAGCTAATCCAGGCTCGGACGGCGCAGGCACCGCTTCGGAATCTCCTTCTGACCGTGCGGGATTCTCTTCAGACAGTGCTGACGTAGTCTCGGACGGACCAGGAGCATTTTTGGGTTGCTCGGGATCGGCGACGGTCGGCGTAGAAGCTGGTGGAGCTGTCTCAAAGGCAAGCCATCCTTTACGGCGGCAGTAGCGAAGCAGACTCATCTCGCCTGACAAGCGTACACGGTTAGTTGCCGATACAGCACATTCGCATCGGTAGTCTTACCTCCAAAGTAGTCCACGCCTTCCGATCCCGCGAGGATGCCACTGGGGGGGAGGTAGCGGGGGGCGTTGCTGAGGCCTGAGGATTTTCGATACAGCCAGCCTTTCTTCTTCAATTCGCGCCATATCTGGTTGAACGATTTCTCGAAGGTGAACATCTTCAGTAGTGATGGTCTCTTCTCCGGCGCTGATTTCCAAATGGAGGGCTGGGAGAGTCTCTTGACTCCTTATATCTGTAAACCTAACCGCTTCCTGACAATCCCGTGTCGCATGTGGTGTGCAGCTTACACTTAACCCGTTTAAATTTATCGCATACAAAATTCATTATGCCGAATTGTCGTTCCTCGAATGTTGTTGCGGACATCTCGGAACAATTTTACTTCTATAAATTAGATTCCGGATTATCCGTAATGTCGTAGTGGAAGGGTTAAAACCATTTTTGTGTTCACTAACCATCCTGAAGTCAGCCATCCCCTAAGTAAAGGGCAAAACCGTATATTTGTCTAGAAATAGATCGCAATGTCAAAAAAATATGACTGAAGGATAATGCCTGGAAAAGGTTAGCAGTTGGCAGCCAGAAGTATTTGTCGCGTTTAAATACGAATCCAGGCCTTAGTAAAGAAATTTACAGAAAATAAACACGTAAGTACGAAATTATGATCATTGCCGCAGAGAGTCTGAGAGCACGAGACCTGCACCAACTACAGCACTTCTCCAGAATGATTATCACAAAAGGAAGCTTGGCGTTAAATGGCTCGTCTTGGCGTTGATAATACAGCTAGCTTTAGCAATTTCGCTCAAATAAAAAACGCATTTGAAAATAATCCTTGCTCCGATTTACTTAAGTTCTTCTTAATTACTACTTCGTTTCAAAAATCCAGTACGTTTCTTTTATAAGATATCGTAAAAGTATGACATTTTGGTTACCATTAGCCGTTTTCGTAATTTAGTATTATTAAATTAGATAAATTTTGCTATTTTGAATGCTTTCTCTGAGCTTCAACAAATATTGTAGATGGCATTTTATGTTCCTGGTGGCTGGTGTCTAGGATTGAAGTTTGGACATAGACAGAGGTCACCGAAACAGTGCTGCCTTAAGGCTACATGTAGGGTTATTTATCACGACCGGCCACAAAAACATCAACATTTTCGCAAACGGCCCAAATTTAACCAGCCGGTAATTTGATCGATTCTTTGCCTTGAAGCAGAAAAAAATAGTTCAAACGCTCTTAGTGTCAGAAATGAAGACGAGCTGGAACAAGATCGATGATGCTTTCAATATTACTTCTCTACAATCATGGACACAAGTAACATCAACTTATCGGCACGGTTCTGACGTGAGACTATTATGCACGACGTGTTCGCGACTGCGCGGGACTGCACGTCATTTCTACGCGCGTATGCATTTAGTCCATTGAGCAAAAAAGTCATTCAGGTCACAAAAATGTATGGGGTTGTCCATCGAGTGTGTGCGACTGGCATGTTGCTTTTTCAAAAAAAGCGTCTGTCTAAACGTGTTAGCACTAAACTCGCTTTATGTCCTCCAAACGCTTGGTTTGTCAGCTCTATGGACCATAACGCTGCCAAATGCCCGAATCAGTCGAAAGATAACCTTGACACGGACGTTCATCCAGGAAGCTATGTCGTGGGTAAATGCCCTTTCTAAATAATCCAGCAGCGTAACACATTTATCAGCACGGCCGTAGAAGACCAAACGATAGTTGAAGAGTATAGTTTCTGATAAAAGACAGACGGGATTCCAGCAACAACATTTTCTATAAAAGCGTATACAATACGAAGCTTAATTAGAAGAAGCTAATCAACTTATCGATGAGCAATAATACCATTTATATCTAGTTTGCTCATTGGAGTCGCTGAATGCCATCGGAACCTAATAAATTATTAAACAAGAATCACACTCAGTCCAGCAAAAAAAGCTAAACAGAATCACAAGAAGAAGCACGTACCCATAAGCGGTAGCGAGTGCTTTCCGACCAATCGTCATAGATCTTGTTGCTTCTCATCAGGTACGCGAAGTAGGTGTATTTATTTTCACCATCCTGGAACTTCACCTTGCCCAGACTATGCGCAAGCTGAGCACTCACCTGCACAATCACGAGTAAGCTATACTTATATCAACACCTAAGCTGACAAAAGTGGACGTACCCCTCCTTCTTCGATGACTTCACGCAACGCTGCCTTCTTAATGCTCTCACCCAAGAGGTAGAAAGTCACTTTTTTTCGGGTTCGAGCTCGAAATCAGAAGCATCTGATGTTCTCCCTTCTCATTAACACGTGTAACAACCCCCGCGGATAGCAACCGACTGCCATCTCTACCAAAGCGCTGACCTTCACGGCCCACATGAGACTCGAGAAACTGTCTAGGAACCGTGCTCATACCTGGGAATTTCTCCATACTCCTACGCATGCTACCAGGCGTCAACTTGGAGCCCTTGATGCCCTTTTCGATATCGATCTTCCTCAATTTCTCGATGGTGGCCAACTGCTTCAGCGTCGAGAGACTCAAACCTTGAGCGTATGGGTACCTTTCTGACAGTTGGCTCGCTAACAGTACGCGCTCAATAGATATCTTAGTGAGCACTGATTTCAATCCAGTTCGCGCTTTTGTCACAATTGTCTCCACTGGACCTGAGATACTGAAGCCTCTCTCTTCATCTTCGTCATCATCTTCAGCCAGCTTCTCTTGATCAATCTGTCGGAGAGATCGCGTGGCTTGCGTAGCTAACACGCGCGACACAGCATCCGCTTCCGAGTTGATTTTCACTGTGCTGGTCGTGTGGGACTTGGTAGCGGTCTTAACAGCAGCGCAGCGTAATACGAGTGCAGCGACATAGATCAACTGTAGTACTCGCATGAGGTCGACGAAAGTTTTGGTGCGATGGTCTTTGGCCCGCAAGTTGGTTGGAGTGTCTGGGAGTTTAAAAATTGTTTGACGATCGCAGTTCGGATTGCTTCGACACGTTGTGCTGCATGTACGGTTGGTCATTTTACGTGTTCGTAATCTATTATAGAGATTTCTATATACATGTAGTTTACGTGTGTGTATTCCTGTATTGGCACTGAATGTACATGTTTGTACAGGTACAATGTATTGTGCATTGTCGAAAGAATGCCGCTTCCTATTTTATACGTTTACTTCCGGAAGAAATTACCGAGATCGAGTATTATCCTTGTTGGTTGTAGTGCTTCCTAGTGCGGGGCGTTTACCCGTCAGTAAAATTTACTGGACACTATAATAACTTAGCTCATGTGGTAGTAGCGAAGACCTCCCAGCAACTCGATAAATGAGGTCAGAGGTCTGCGAGAACAGGTCAGTTCCTCTCACATCCTTTTCGCACTTTTCGTTGAGAATTGACATCTAAAAAACGAGCACTCATAAAATACTATTGACAATTTTTTTAATATCTAAAAAAGAAATAAATAATATTAGTATTTTTCGCATTACCGGTAAGTTTCACGAAATAATAATATTTTACAGCAACTAATTTTAATTTTTACTATCAGTCCAACTCTCTAGTTCCTCTAGCTCCAGAGCTTCTTTGCACCGCTTCGTTATTGCCAACCAACATCAGGCTAAATATCCAGCCAGACCAGGTTACTTTTGCGTGACCTGTTCAGCTCAAAACAAAACGGCCCTTTCTGACGGTTTGGCACTGAGTGTTTAGCAAAAGCGAGTGGCTCACCAAGCTCAACGCAAACTTCGCAGCCAATTCTAGTTGCTATCACTTACATCGCAATTTTCGAAGCTACGACATTGAAATAAAAGAGTGGCTCCTGTGATTTCTTCTTCTAGCCTCACGACGAAGGAGCCCATTGCTAAGAGATTTGCCTTGCTCACTGCAAGTAGCCACCCGGTGCAGGCGATTCTAAGCTCGTGTTCCTGCTAAGCCGTCACGATGACTCCCGCGCGCAGTACGCATCGCACAGCCACGGTACCGAGCGCCCCCTTCAAACTTTTGTTTTCGCAAATTAGGAAATCTATCATTGCTACTAGAGGCCCGGGTGGGTGATCGTGCGGGGCATGCCGCTTTGCGGAGTCGACGACGAGCTTACAAGGAAATCTAAGTGGTGATCGACCGACTCAAAAGCTGTCAAAGTAGAGATATTACAGTTGCTACAAAGTAGGGTGTCGTGATCGCCGAAGCGATTAGCATCCTGTTCGGCATTATGTACGACGGCTGGGCATATACGGCACCATGCATTTTGCTGCTGTCATCGAACCCTACGTGGCCATGGGACCATGCAATTTGCTGCTGTCATCGGACTCTACGTGGGAAAAATATAAGTCTGGCGATTTAACTTGTAGAAGGACCTGGTGCCATCAACAAACGACCACAAAAAGTTAATGGGGTCTTTCAAGCAGGCCTTCCATTGCAGCGAAAATAAAGTGGCAATATTTGTGTGGAATAATCTTTTTTTCAGTTGCGAACCTAAAATTCAGAATTATATTTTCAGAATCCTCATGAATTATTTGTAGTCCAGGCTTCACAAAACTACTCAATCCGAGCAAAGCGAAACTGAGTACCAACCACTGCTTGGTTGGTTGGCAAGTCCTTGGGAGCATCCAGCTCAGTCCTCCCCATTATCCAGTCCACTATGTTATTGACAGCCCCTTCACCAACCAGCAATGTATTTTGGAAGTAGTGGTGTGATATGGCTCTTATCGAAGAAATTACGTATTTGCAAATACCAAATATTGTCCTGTACGTACTGAATTCACTAAAAAGCAAGAATCTCATTGCAGTTGTATTATCGGTGGCCTGTTTACAAGCACTTATTAATGTTGAAAGTGTGCGCAATCGCTTGCTGTCGGAGGGAACGACCATGCAGCTTGGTGCGTTTCCTTTTCGATTCGATCACGGCAGGTATTCTTGAAGCTAAGGCAACGCGCATCCCAATTGGTCTTGGCTCCCGTTTAGGCTGCGCACGTAGCGAATCGCATGCTTCGTTCGTGGTAAGTCCAACACTCATCCGAAATCTCAGCGACTCCAAAAGCCCGGCGGTTTTGTCATCGCGGTTTGTTACGTTGACATGACTTGCAACCGCTCATCGACTTCAACATCTAGGACCAATACCAAGGCCTCGCTAGCGTCAAGTACGTCCGGTGGTCACCTGGGTGTCCACCGCAGTTGGAGTCGTGACACTAGCTGATTATCGTTTGACAAAGCGTGGTATCGCTCGGGACAGCTCAACGAGGCACAACATCGGTTGGTGATTGATACCACATTAGCCCGTTGGATTCGGAGAAGCACCGAAATCGGTGCTTCACTCGAAAGCTCGATTTCCCAGTGCGATGCTTGACGGCTTCAAGGAGAGATTGAATGCCTCGATCCTTCTTGTACGCCTTCTATAGTGCGACTACTAATTCGCTGTTCGTCTTGCCTTCCGTTATACGTATGCAAGGTATCATTGAAGCAGGTAAAATGTAAGACGTGGAAATACTTCGTATCTCGCTGCAAGTCTTTGTCGCCGACTGATCGCGACGGCGCTGTCGCTCTGTGCTCCAGGAAAATAAGAGAATGCTGATAGCCCTAGGAGGATGTCATACCATCCTGTGAGCCTCCGATCCGTCATTTGTTTTAGCAAAGATCCCTTCCGGGTTTTGTTGTCTGTTTCAACAGTTGGAGGATGTCCAGACAGTAGATGCAAAGCTGCTACCGCGTTTACCATCGCTATTAGCTCCTGTTGTTTAAGGGGATAGTTGAGCTCATTAGACCTCATCTACCGACCGGTGGAGGCGGTGGGACGTTCAGCTTCGCCAGCCACTTGACATAGTACCCCTTCAGCTGCGAACTTACTTGCGTCCGTGCGCAAGCGAATAGGCTGGCTGAAGTCCAGCAAGTGTTACACAGGTGGGCGACACAGCCGTTGTTTCAGCTCCTTGAAGCTCTTCGGTTGCTCATCGCTGAAGTGTAGTTTCGCACTGCATTAGCTCTTCTTCTTTAAAGCGTGACCATACTAGCCCCAAGCGACGCGTAGACGAGGCACGAGCACTGTACGTATCCGGTCAGCCCAATAAAGATGTGAAGCTCCTCTTAAGTACGTGGCACAGTAATGGTATGTACCTTGTCGGGCGTCCATCTGTACTCGACTTCGTCCCCCAAAATTACCAAGACACCGATTCTCGTTGGCGCAGAAGCACTTCATATTTTGATGAAAAACTTGTTCTCCCACAGAATGTCGATTTATTACGCAACGCTTCAAGACGATCCTCAATCTTGAGCGAATTTGGGAGTACATATCATCGTAGAAGAATTTCGTATTCTCCGATTCTCAGAAGAGCTAGGAAGTATCATCGTAGAAGAATTTCGTATTCTCCGATTCTCAGAAGAGCTAGGAAGTCAGTCGTCGCATCGTCGCTGGTGCATTGCATACTCCCGGGGGTACCACCAGAGACCGTTGGATGCCAGAAATACGATGAACTTGATGTCTGCTTCCAGCATACGTACTTTGTAGTACGCAGGCATTAAGTCCATTTTAGAGAACCAGTACACTCCGGACATTGCATCCGAATTGTCTTCCTTCCTTCCTCGTCATCGGAATATTTTGACGTACTATGTTCGAGCTTAAGAGCCGGTAACCGTGCACGATCGGCCACCCGGCACGTATCCTGACACAGCATATTGGTGCGGCAAGTGGACTGATGCTTGGACGTATAAGCTTCTTCCGGATAATATCCTCAACCCAGCGCACAACCTCGCGTTGCTGCTTTGGTGACTACCGCCATTACCTCGCAATCTTTGATAAAGTGCAGGCGGATCCGATGGTTAATCTTGCGTTTCTCGGGTAAACCCTTCAGGAAGTTCCGGACCGAACGCATTGTTCTTGTACTCTGTGAGGAGGCTGAAGGCATAATTATTCCGAAACGTATCCTAGTTTGTTTCCAGATACCACTGTGCTTTGGCACTTCCGACGTTGTTTGGTTGATCGCGCCACAGCAACGAGCGAGCGACTTGCTTGATCGTCTCATTCGACAGAACCAACATGGAATCAGTTTCGCTCATTGACTTGGCCTTGACTCCCAGGAGCTTGCAAAGCTACTTTCGCGTGATGTAATTGGTCTGTATACCAGCATTATCAACAACACACACCGTGAACATTTTCATCACGTTGCTGTTTTTACCCCGGAACTACTGCTGTCATGAGATCTCTCCTGCAGTACCATCGCGTTCTGACGACTCCCAGTCCTCGTTTTCCGCCGAAACCTTGTCAGCTGACGCGTTTCCTTGTTGCTTGCAAACAACACATGGGCACTTCGTCTGCACTGCGTCACGAGCAGATCTGACCGTGGACTTCGCATCCGTTTCCAGTCAGGCACCTCGACAGGGATCGGGTCTTTTTATTTCGCGTCGACAGATCTCCGAATCCTCGTGGCGATCACTGGCCCTCCTTCCTCGATCGGTTCACATGTCTCGCATATTCACTGCCAGCACAAAGTCTTCTCTGTTGTTCCATCAATCCGTCGACCTCTCCAGTCGATCTGCGGCTGCGTATCCTCAAAGAACGGTATTTCAAGGATGCAATTGAATTCATCGGGAGCAGCATAAACCACAGCAGCGCAATGATATGCTTTGGCTACACCAGAAATCTCGATTTTCATTAGTAAACTTTTAAGTCGGTTGTCTCCCATCTTGACCGGAAAGCTCTTACCTTTGAGCTTCGTCGTCTGGAACTGATGTTCCGTGACCCAACTGTGAACAGGTATATCGTGGTAGCCCCACAGCCAAATAATATACCCGACGTGGTAATACTAGTGTCATCCACACAGATTTCTCCTGATACCGAAAATAGGGGTTTTACATAGAGCACTAAAATTGATATTTTCCAACTTAGTTGTTCTGGTTGAGTTTTCCTCCACGCCAGAACCCAATTTTGATAAAGTAGAATGAGTTTCCGTACTTAGCCTCCCCTCTCTTCCAAGCGCAGCAATCAAACTTGATGTGACCTGGTTTTTGTTTTACAGAAATGACATGTACGTCCTTTGGTACGTTTCGTTTCGGGTTTTGGTTTGAACTGTTCTTTCTCACGGAGATGTTTTCCTTGAAGCTTTGTAGCTTCGTGACTCTGGTTGATTGAGCTGCGTATATTGTCGTTGTGGACTAGAAGATCGCGAGCTTCCTTTACATAGTGGATTACCTTGTACGTGACAGCCAAATCCACCGCGTCACTCGGCGTCAGAGGATTTCCAATCTCAGCATAGCTGCGTGTATGTGGGCTCAGCTCATTCGCTCTGCATAACTCCTGATCAAGTATACTCGTTCCTTCGACTTTGTAGATCAGCTCTTAGTACTCACCACCGTACGTCTCAATTTCGGCTGTTTGCTTTCGTCGCTGAATCTTCGCGCGTAGGACGGCGTAGTAATTCGACGCCTCGAAATGTTACAGCATGCTCACTGAAACCCCCCACATAAGCTCCTCAATTCTTGTCGTCGGTGACCAGTGCATGACCCCGCAATTCCTGGTACCATATACGAGATCTCCTTCTTCAGAGAGATGTCCTTGTTCAGACCGGTGATAGTGCTTATAAACCCCAACGCGTCATTTTAAATCTCCAAATACAGAGTGCACAAACAGTAGGCACTGGCTATAAAGGACCGCCGTTAATTGCAATAAACTCGCAATGGCGCACGAAAGCGATCAACAGGGCAGCAAAAAGGAGGGACTAGGACGCGATAAAAGCCCAAACAATTCAAAAGGGTTGCGATAACATATCACCGCAAACCTGAAGTAATTGAGGGCTACGATGCCATCATCGCGAGAGCCAAAATGCATCGAGATGTCAGCTTTTTCATCCCACTTTGCCTCTTAACCAAGCTCCAGAAAAAGCGGCAGATAGACAATTGGCTCGAACAACGCGAGTGTATCGGTTGTACAAAGCGGATCTGAGAAGGCTAACATCGTTGCCAGGCAACATGATCGAAATAGTAAAACACAGCAGAGTCTTCTTGACTCTCAGCCTGACTGGAAGCTGTTTGAGTGACTGTTGTAAGCGGTTCCGGTAGCTTGGCATGTTGTCAACCCCCGTCTTGATATTGATACTCTTTTTGCTGAGAATAGTAAAGTCGATAGATAAACAAGGAGCTGCACTTTGTCGAGAAACATTCATTTCAGTGTGCAGAGATGGGTAGGGGTGGGTTGGGGTATACAATCTGTGCTCACATGGCGACACAGCAGCTTCAACAATATAGGGTCTGACGTAGGAGATCTCGTATACGGTAGGCGCGATGCCGTTGATGAGACACGCGCTCTCCATTTGGAATAATCATTCCCGCATGCTCCCCCCCTCTCTCTCTTGCCCGTGAGCTTGGAGAGGTTGGTTGGTAAGCGCGCGCGATCGGCTACAGTATTGCTTGGTTAAGCCGGTCTAATTCGCTTGCAACTGACGTCTTCGGCATGCAATCTTGTGGTCAGGATGCTGGGATCAAATTGGGCTACCAGTATGTCAAAAAGATAGGTTGCTGAGGGGAAGAGCGGGCAAAAGCAAAGTAACCGCCTTGCAGCTCAGATGGATGGAAGCTTGTAAAAGCTTACCGCCTTGCAGTTCAGATGGATGGAGCTTTTTCAAGCAAAAGTAAAAAAAAAGCTTGTAAAAACTTTTTTATCTTTGATTTCACAAACTTCCATCCATCTGAACTGCAAGGCGGTAGGATGGATGGCTTCCACAGCCATCCTACTTAACATTATAATGATTTTGAAAACTATACACTCGTTCTGTAGGCTCTTCCTGGATTATAGCCAATCACGCTACACGGTAATCCAAACTTACTGTCTCTTTCAAAAGTACATAAGCTTTTATCACAGCAGTAGTAGTAGTAGTAGTAGCTGTAGTAGTAGTAGTAGTAGCTGTAGTAGTAGTAGTAGTAGCTGAAGTAGTAGTCAAATAAAACATTTGATGTAGTAATGCACAAACATAAAAAGTAGGAAAACTTGAATAAGAGCTCTGAAATGCGCCGCTAATTCTGCACCACTCTTTTTTAGAGGGGCACATGAAACGTGCCAGTCGAAAAATATCTGGCCATGAGGGCTTTCTAATTTTATACAACGCCCTTTCAAGGCGCGTGCCGGTAGTAATCGAAGTGCGGGGGCGTTTTATTCGGTATTATACGTCAGTACTGTTGTAATATTTCGATCTCGGCAAATTAATTGTACACATGGCTTTAAGAGCTCCCGACATCACTCGTGGGCCAAGCTTAAAAGGAGATCTCCGTCGACGCTGTACAGCTGAGCATCAAGCCCTGCGGCTTCAGCAACGATGCCAGCGAGTTGTGCATTAAGCTTGATGTATACGGCTCGCAGCTCAGCGCGACACGGGAGCTACAAGCGGGTGACGAGAGCGACTCCAAACCAGAGTTCAAAGCAGAAACGGAGTCGGTAAGGAAAATTCTCGATGACATTGTTATCGAAAACAGGTCTAGCGGTTAGTTCAAGCGGTTTCCTTGCAACGAACGATTTTAAAAGAGATTACTACCTTATACATGTAGCAGTGTGTCGATGCGTGCTTCCGAATGGCCTCGCTTCATTACTAGCTGCTCTTATGTGGCCAGTTAAATCAAATTTGAACCCCCAAAAACCCAAACTTTATTATTAGTATTATTATGTTGTACTACAGTAGTACGTGGATTCCTTTTTGATTTTAGCTTCCAAGTATTAGTACTACTAAAACAGCATGTGCTACTTGATACTTCAAAGTACATAGTAGTACTACTAAACGTTCAAAAAATATTGAGAAGCTATCCACATGTTGAAGTGCCTTTTCTTGGAACAAGATCATAATGCAAGTCATGCAACATGCTCGTCAGTATCTCTGGCACTTTTCCTATATCTGGCCAAACCGTCAAGTTTATCAAAGTCTTTTTTGGTATTTTTTGGCCTCTTTTCCTGTTGCTTGATCCTGCTTCCCCTGTCCGAAAACTTAACAAGTTGGCACGTTCTCTTTCGCGCCACGTCTCCTTTCAGCAGCAGGCAAAGCAAAATCCATTGCTAACCACTTAACCCAGCAGGATCTTGTTGTCCTCAATGAACTTGTATGGCGGGATCTCGAGGTTGAGCGGAGCGGGGCCCTTGCGGATACGGCCCGACAGGTCGTAGTGCGAGCCGTGGCACGGGCAGAACCAACCGCCGTACTCGCCAGCGTCCGACGTGGGCACACAGCCCAAGTGGGTGCACACACCGAGCACCACGAGCCATTCGGGCTTCTGCACACGGACAGCGTCCGTCTCGGGGTCACGCAGGTTGCCCACGTCCACCTGGTTCGAGATATCGATCTCCTTGGTCGTACGGTGCTTAATGAAGATGGGCTTACCACGCCACTTGACGGTGACCGTCGAGCCCTCGTTAATGTTGCTCAGATCGAACTCGGCCGTCGCCAGAGCCAGCACATCGGCGGACGCGCTCATACTGCCCACAAACTTGACGACTGCCAGACGCGCAGCCGTCGCGTACGCCACACGGGCGCCACCAAGCATAAAGTATGTGAACGCGCGCTTGCTCGGGTCTCCAGCATCGATACGGTCCTTCTCGAAGTAGTGGTCGGGCGACTCGTACGTGTCCACAACAGCCTTGGAGCTCAAGGCGCGGCCTGCTTCAGTGGGAGCTTATTAGACGGTGTATAGAGAGTATGGGTGTATACACAACGCACCCTGGAAGGCCTGGCTGCAGCGCGGGGCCACAGAGGAGCTCAACTTCTTCAGCATCATGATGGCAGGACGGAGGAGCTGTGACTGTCTGCGTCGGTCTCTGTGTGGCGCAGCGTAGACCGCACGTGGGGGAGGATGGACGAAACGAGATAGAGGGGGTGAGATTCTGACGGTCCAGCCACGATTGGCAGAAACACGACTTGAACCTTCAGACAAGAAAATGCCGTTGAGGAGGAAAACACTAACATAAAGACGCGAAATTTGACTATGCTTTTTTGGTTCTTTCATAAATCCGAAGCATTACTATTGATGCGCTTGGATAGGAAAATGCTGGGTAGTTATCGCCTTTTTTTGGTTTTCCACATAAGTTGCGTGCACCACACAGTTGTTAGAGACTCTTTTAGGGCCATTCGAGAAGCTCCACAGCCCTACGCAGGTACAATGTCATTCTTCCAGCGTCTCGTTTCGTACGTGATCAACGACGTGGCCGTCAAGGCGCTGTCCAACTCACGCGCCTTCCAGCGCTTCGCTCTCAAGACGCACTACCACGTGGAGGACGCCAAGACCATGGCTTCTACTGGCGCCGACGTGCTCAAGAACTCGGTGGATAACTACGCGCCCAAGGTCAAGGAGTTCACACAGGCCTTCCGGGAGGAAGTCGCACGAGACCTCAAGAAAATGAAGTGAACAGGGGAACTTGCAACTAGTAGCAGAGATTACAGTGGTGTACATCGTTTATAATGCATTTTCTTTTGGTCATAGAAACTGGTGTTGGCTAAAGCTGCCGAGCACACGACTGGCCTTCAGTGACAGCCATATTGGAGCAGCCCTCTCCGACTAGCGAGAGGCCTCGCCCACCTATACCCTCAGCCTAGATCTCATTTCCCTTTTTTTTCTTTAAGGGGGGGTCATTTGATTATTTCGTGAATGCAACGTTTTATTAATACCACGTAGTAAAATGTTTTATAGCGTGTGATTGCGGGGTTATTTACCTTCGTTTCACTTTCGCGCTAGCTGTGGTGGCGTACTGATGGCATTAATGCTGTCTTCAATATCCAAAGGATAAAACAGCCCTTCGATGGCGGGATCACACCTAACAGACTTCGTCAGCACTGGTCTGTTCTGCTTGGATGGATCCGTCATCGTCTGCGAATATTCCGGTAACAAAGGGACACGAAATGCGGACGCCGATCCATTAAGGACTTTCTCAAAGTCATCGCAGTACGGGGTAGGTCCAGCAAGCCACGGATTCGCTCTACCTTTCATACGAATCACCAGTTCATCAACCCACGCCCAGAAGAACGAGATGTTGGTCTCGCCAATGAAGATCCAGGATAAATCCGAAGACAACTGCGTCACATTTCGAGGCAGTTGTTGAATATTCATCTCACTAATGCCAAGATACATCATTCCGTTAACCTCAAAAATCTCAGGAGGCAGATCTGTGATAGGATTGCCAGTCACAGCCAAGTAATACGGCTGAAGTCGCCATAGTACAGAGGGGACGGACGTTAGTTGACTGTATTCAACTTGGACAATTGCTGCTGAAGGCCATTTTGTGTCGAGATCGTCAGGAAGCGTATGCAGATTCGTGACACAAATCTCAATGTCATAAAGTGTAGGCGGAAAATCTGACGACTGGAAACCCGCTGGGAGCACGCCATTCGTCATATTCACTCGAACGATCATGAGCGACGACATTCCGGGGTGATTGCTGCTCGTAATCGCCGCTGAATCGCTCCACTCAGCAATAGTTGTGTTGTATACTTTGATCCCGCGAAGTCCACTAAAATCAGTAAAAATATCTGGTACTTCCAGTGCAGGACAGTGTCGAATAAGTAGCTGAACGACAGTGGAGGCGTCAAATTCGCTCCATTTCTCCTCAACCTCGTCAAGCGATCCAGATATCTCCAGTGTGTAGCAATCCAATCCTGCCAAATAGCATGAAGGACGTGAGACAGCCCAAGGTCTCACTTGCATCAAACATTGAGGTAGTGTTGGCTGTACTGCTGCATGGATGTGGAACCCAAGAACTAGGATGCCCCAGGCCCCAAACAACAAATGTGCTGCTCGAAGCATCAGCCGTCCAGTACGTGAGCGTAGATTAGTATCACGATAGCTGTCACCACGTTTCAAGTAGCGTTTAGAGAGCTGAGGTCCCAAAGGTGGTACCTTTGGACCTACGTTATTGAATTTATCCCCCGAAATCTGAGCATTCTTTCCGACATCAGCAATCGTTGGAGAAGTCGATTGAGCAACTTGATTCACATTCCTTGGTAGAGATTGAAGCAGCTCCTTCATATTCAGTGTTGTCATCACCAGTCCAAGCGAGAAGATGGAACGACTAGCAAGGTCTGACCAGGAGACCACGACCATCATCCGAAATTCGTTTAACGCTCGTGCTACCCACTCATCGTCGTACCAGATGATCTCATAAAACCCACGTATCTTGACATTGTAGTCCCCTACGTAGCTTAGCAGCACCATCAACTCGATGCCCATACAAGCCACTAGATCCAGGATACAGTCCAGGACGATGCATGCAAACCGTCTCTGTGCTTCATCTCGTCTGAATAGTACCGAGTACACGATCACGGAGGACCAACAGTTGACTGCAAGTAATAGGACGTAAAACCGGTTTAGTAGAGTTCGAGGAAGTAGTACACTCATACGATACGCTTGAACCGTCTGGAGTGCCGTCTCTAGCACCTCACGGCAAATGAGAACAGCGTGGAAGTGAATGCCATTGACACCGAGAAGACCGTGGCGGTCCGACAATTTGTCGTACACTTTCGAGAAACTCTTGAGTACAACAGAATCTGTACGACTGGCCTTCGTGTCTTCCTTTTTACTGCTCTTTGGCCAGGGGGAAAAGACGAGTGAACGTTTCCATAGTGAACCACTTACCATAAACAAAATGCAAATACCATGAACCGATGACATGATGACATGAACGACGGCGATAGTACGGTGATATGGTGGCGGCATGCCGATCTGGTACGACTCGAGGTACATATTGAGGAAGGTGTCTTGGAGATGCCAGTAGCAGTAGGCGTAAAGTGCGTTGTATGCGCTCGTAACCACGTGAACAGAAAGGATAATTATCCACCATACTGCGAAGACCCAGTACGATAGGTTAACAACCTCCGTCGAGGCCTTCGGTGGCATCACTTCACAGTCTTGAGTTCTGTTGATTTCTTAAAGTGTGTGCGAAGACCAACATGACAAAGACACACAAGGACAATTTTCTATTTTCATCAACGCCCATTCTCCTACTCCCGTAACACCACTAAAATACATGCCTGCGTAGCCAAAATTAGCAATGATTTCTTATGTCATAATTACTTCGGAATATTGATTGGCGCATCTTGGGCTATTTCTCACTTGCGTTTTCAAGATAGTGCAAAAAAAAATATTCGCTTTCTTGCCGTGGTGTGGATTTTCTCATGTAAACGATTTTTTTTTATTTGGGAAATGTTTTTTTATTTGAACGTCTACAGGTGAGCGTCTACATGTACATGTATGTACACCTCAGCTTATTTTATCTGTGTATCGCCATTTTAACGGATGTGGTGAGCTGATAGAGTTGATTCTGTCATCGTAACTTAGAGGATAATACAGGCTTTCCGTATGCGTATCACAATCCACGGTTTGTAAAATTATTTCTCGTTGTTCCTCCTCTTGTGCAGAGCTCATGAGGATCTGAGAGAATTCGAGCGAAATCGGGAGGTGGAAGGTACTCGCATTACCGGACTTGAGATTCTCCAATTTATCGCAATACGGAGAATGTGCTGCTCTCACGGGGAAGCGTTTCCCTCTTGTGCGCTCAACGAACTCATCTATCCACGACCAAAAAAACGAAATATTGGTATTCACGATGCATATCCGTGCCAACGTCGAGGACAACTTTGTGACTTTCTGTGGTAATTCGTAAAGATTCAAGTCGCTAATCCCAAGATAAAGTAGATTCGGAATTTCGAAAAGTTCCGGGGGGAGTTCTGTAATCGGGTTTCCTGTTATTGCCAGGTAGGTTGGCTCAAGACGTAGCAGCACCTCGGGAACAGAGATCAGTTGCGCATGTTCCACATAAATCAGTCCGCTCGCTGGCCATTTTGTTGCAAGATCATCCGGCAATGATCTTAAGTTTGTGACGCAGATCTCGATATCATTCAGAGTACTCGGATGCTCTGACGATTGGATACCGAGAGGAAGTACGCCGTTGGTAAAGTTGACACGAACAAAGTACAGTGAAGCCATTGTAGGGTGGTTTGAGTGCGTGATCGCTGCTGATTCGTCCCACTGTGTAATAGTAGTGTTGTACACTTTTATCCCATGAATACCTCTAAATTTTGTAAGAACATTAGGCATTTCGAGTCCCGGACAATGACGAATCAATAGTTGAACAACGGTAGAGGCGTCAAACTCGCGCCACATCGTCTCGACCGCATCTTTTTCTCCAGAAATGCCTAATTTATAGCAATCTAGACCAACCAAATAGCACGAAGGGCGTGAAACAGTCCACGGTCGCACCTGCATGAAGCAATGAGTTAATGATGGCTGCACCGATGCGTGGATATGAAGTCCTAGTATCACGATCCCCCATGTTCCAAACAAGACATGAGCGATTCGAAGAACGATACGCTCTCGACGAGATATCAACCCATTAATAAAGGTGACCAGAGTCTCAACGAACGAGGCTTTAGTCTTCACTGGTGGTCTCATTTCCTCGATACCTGTCGGTCCTGGTTTGCTGAGACCAAGAACCTTTTTAGACGTTCCAACCGACAAAACTGTCGGCGTGGGGGAATGCACTACACGGCTTGTATTTCGTGGCAATCGCCATAGTAATCGCTTCATATTTGTAGTCGTGATGACCAATCCAAGTGAGAAGATGGTACGACTTACAAGGTCTGAATACGAAACCACAACGACCATCCGGAACTCGTTTAAAGCTCGAGCGACCCATTCATCGTTGTACCATATCGTTTCGTCAAAGCCGTGATAACTAGTGTTGTAGTCTTTGATGTAGTTGATCATGACTAACAGTTGCACGCCCATACACGCCATGAGGTCCAGCATGCCGTCTAAGACGATACAGGTGAACCTCCTCCTTGCTTCGTCGCGCCCGAAAAAGACCGAATCGGCAATGATTGACGTCCAGCAGTTCGCCGCAAGTAAGATAACATAGGCTCGATTTAACAGCGTTCGAGGTAGTAATACACTCATTCGATACGCTTGCGCAGTCTGCAGCGCAGTCTCCACAATCTCACGGCAGATCATAGCAGCGTTAAAGTATTGCCCGTCTACACCACACAATCCGCATAGATGGGTAACATTGCCATAGACTTTTGTAACATTTTGAAGCACTGCCGAACTAGTGTTACGGCTTGACTTTCGTTCATCCCCGACAGTACTCGACGACCAGGGTGTGAATGCTAACGCCTTCTGTCGTAGTGAACCTCCCACCATTAACAGGATGCAAGCTCCATGAACGGCACACACGGTACCGTGAACAAAAGCAATTGTGTGATGGTAGGGCTGTGACATGCCGATGCGGTAGAACTCGAGACAGGTATTGAGGTACGTCCCGTTCAAGTTCCAATACCCGTAAGCATACAGTGCGTTGAATACACAGGTGACGACGTGTACAGCGAGGATGATGACCCACCAGACGGCGAAGTGCCAGTACGAGAGCTTAATCGCCTTCTTGGGCGCCTGCAGTACAGCCCGCGATATCTGTCGGAGCATGTTTTCTCTTGGAAAGTGCGGTGGTGATCTCTATTTGTGGTCATGGATTATAATACTATATCATCAAGCGGAGAGGTTTTGTAAAAGCTGTAATTTTGAGTAAAAATCTAAAAATGTCAGTATTTTCTTGATTTCTCTTGGATCTATTTTTTTTTCTTCTCTGTCGGTTTGAGATTACAAGAATAGCTGTCTTCATGCTGTATGCTTCCACTTTTTTCTTTACATTATCATACACGACGATCAAAGCAAATACTTGAGACGCTTAAAAAATGAAGAAGAAGCCCTCCATTATTCGGCAGATGTCTCGACTATTCCCGAAGGCGTCGACCGAGGTGGGTGAAGCTCTCGTATTGGGTGTTTGCCGTTTGGTGGGTCGTTATTCTCGCCCGTCCACGTAGTCACGTGTGGCTACACTGGCATAAGTTCGCCTACAGGCTACTGCCAGCTGCAAGGACACATTTCCTCAACCTTGTACTTGGGAATCGTAACGAGATCGGGTTGCCCAAGTTCGGTACCATAACCACGATCGGCTAATGTCCACATTATCATATCGGTACCTCACGGGGGCCTGCATCGTTCTTGATGCCTGGGAGTCTCGATTTACCAGCGATCCCTGGCTTTTACGCCGTGTACCTCGTGCGACGCGACGCTAAACTCGAGGAAACTAAGTCAGATCGCACCAGCTCCGTTATCCTTCAAAGCTTCTCGAAAATGTACGAAAAAATATCAGATCGACACGGTCTTTGTGGTGTCAATAGCGACCATTTTCACGGTGTTCTAATACTACGAGAAGTCGTCGAGACGGCGTTGCAAACGGTGCAGGCGTATCGGATGAGTCAGCTGCTTCCAAGGACTCTACTCAATCGCTTCTACGCTGTGCTACTTGCAGTCAACTGTTGGTCTTCCGTCATCGTCTACTCGTTCTTCTTTAAGAAGGATGAAGCGCGTAGACGACTCGCGTGTATTGTGTCAGACTGCGTGCTTGACTTCATGTCGTGTATGGGCGTCGAGTTGATCGTCTTGCTGAGCTACGCGGGTGATTATGACACGTCGATTCTTGGTTTCCCGGAGATTATGTGGTACAATGACGAGTGGAACGCGCGAGCTCTCAACGAACTGAAGATGGTACTTGTGGTTTCCTGGACGGACCTGGCAAGTCGCTCAATCTTCTCACTTGGGTTAATCCTCACTACGATGAGTATGAAAGAACTCTTGGCACGCTTACCTCGACGTAAGAATCAAGTTTCGCACTTTGGCGATGTCAAAACAAAAGGCAACGCTAGAACCGAGAGTGACACCTTTTGGGATGCCAAACTGAACGCAGTGGCTCCAAAGACTTTTGCCCCATCTCTACCGATCCCCGAAAGGCCAAAACGCAATATTCTGGTAAGAAATGACAACGGCACAAATCTTCGTAGTAACGGAGCACGGTTCATGTTGCGTTCGGCACATTTGTTGTTTGGTTTATGGGGTTTCGTGGTCCTTGGCTTCCACATTCAAGCTTCTATGCAGCCAATACAACCGCAGTGTTTGATGCAAGTTCGACCGTGGGCAGTGACACGAACATCATGTTATTTGGCTGGTCTTGACTGTCATACGCTTGGTATAAGCGGGAAGAAGGACGAAGTAGATGAAAAATGGCGAGAATTTGACGCTTCCACTGTCGTTCAGCTACTCATTCGACACTGTCCTGAGCTCGAGATACCGGATATTTTCTGTGAATTTCGTGAACTTCGCAACATCAAAGTATACAATTCAACTATCAACGAGTGGGGGGAATCAGCAGCCATTACAAGCACTAACCACCCCGGTATGTCGTCGCTATTACTCGTTCGTGTTAACATGACGGATGGGCTATTGCCTGTTGGGTTATTATCTGAAGATTTCCCTCAGACTCTGTACGATCTCGGGAGCATTGCGTCACGAATCTACGTACACTACCGGATGATCTTGACGCGATATGGCCCCTGTACGCTATATAGTAGAGTACAGTCAACTCACCAGCGTCCCTGCTGTGTTGCCTCGATTGGAACCCTATTATCTGGCGTTGACCGGGAATCCGTTATCGGAGGTTCCTCCAGAGGTTTTCGAGGTGCAAGGCATGCTCTTCCTCAGCATCAGTAACATGAATATCCATCAACTTCCCCGCAACGTAACGCAGTTATCGGCTGAGCTATCGTGGATATTTATTGGCGACACTAATGTTTCATTCTTTTGGGCATGGACGGATGAGCTTGTGGAACGCATGAAGGGGAGAGCAAACCCGTGGCTGGCGGGACCGTCTCCATATTGTGATGATCTTGAAAAGATTGAAACTGGTTCCGCTACGACGTTTAGTGTTCCGCTGTCACCTGTATACTCGCAGACTCTCATGAACCCATCGGAGGCGAATCGAAACGTCATCTTAAAAGCTGTTCGGTGTGACCCTACAATCGAAGGCCTGTTCTACCCTCTGGAGTTGGAAGACAGTATCAATGCAATCAGCACTCCGCCACCTCTGGTTCAGCCGCAATAAGGGAAAAAACTTAATCACAAAACCTAAAATTAAAAATTAACGAGACTGTCGTTTCAGGAATCATTTACAGTCCTCAAATAGGCGCTTCATTGTAAATTCTTCTCCCACTCGACACCGACCGCTTCGCCGAATCAAGATGCACCGCGCCAAGCCCAAAGCCCCACTTAGCGTAGGTGGTGTGCAGGTATCTTCTACACGATGAGGTTGGTATTTGACAAACGTGAATGAATTCTCGCAGATCATGGAGAAGCGGATTCCGCAGAACCCAAAGTACAAGAACACGCAGAGCAAGATCGACTCAGGCACAACAGTGAATAAAGTTCGTCTGATCTGTAAGTTCTAGATTTTAAAGAATCTTATTTTCGGATCGTACCCTAAAACTCTACCGTAACTATCACAGCTCACAAAGAATTTCTAAAGCGCCGAGACGAAACTTTTCGTCGTATCACGTGCCGTTGTCTTGCTGAGCTCTTTAACGAGTACGAAGACACTGGAGGTGCCAGTCAGCCAGAAATGGTCGCGAGAATGGTGAAAGGACCCAACGGAGATTTCACAATGGAGCGAGTCCCCGTAGGCGAAGATAACCAAGAAAGCTGCGGTCCTCGAATCGTCAGCTATGAGGCAGACGAGAAGGAAGACTACGACGCGCCATATCTGGTCCTAGATACTCGTTCTAAAGAGGAATTTGCAGCCAATCGCATTCATCGAGCCAAGAACTACCCCACAACCTTCTTGAACCGAGATGTGCTGTTACCTGAGATGCACCAGTTCAAGAACCAGGACTCGAAGCTTATTATTATCTACGATCTGGACGACAAGACTGTAGCCCAGACGGCGCACACGTTGGTTCAACGAGGCTTCGACAACATCTACGTGCTTACGGGAGGACTACTTGACTTTGCTGACGAGTATCCAGAGCATATCGAAGGCACCCCGTTACCTCCAAAGCCTGTGGATCTCGCAAAGAAGAACACAAAGCGCGACGTTCACAGAGGCTCATCGGCCCTTTCCAGTACTCGCAGTGTCCGTGGCGTGGCTACCCGTCGAAAGGGCACTCCGTCTGATGTTAGCTCGGTCATGAGCAACCTTTCGGTTGCAGAGTCCGTCATCTCCAAGGCTACCGCACGTAAGGAACGTGTAGTAGGCGCTTCGAACTTCAGATAAGGTGAAGATAGCTTTTGGTATTTTACCGAACCAGTGAACTTTCCGCTCAATAATATTTTTTTATAAAAACAGTAGTTCTGCTTCTAATTTCGTCCGACATGACGGGCGTCAATTGTTGAGGGTCAGAGTAACCAGATTCTTGGCGTCATCTTCATCAACGTGAGCGGCTTGCATGTTAAACAGCTCATCTCTCGCCAACCCATACATACGAATTTAAACTTTTGATACAGGAAGCAAGGTTACAGTAGCTTTACGTCCGATGCATTCAAGTCTTGGACCAAGAAGATCTCTTGCTGCGTTTGGTTTCAATAGTCGTTACCAGCACAGCATGATGCGGGTCTGTACATGCATTTTTAAGCGATATACTCGTATTCGCTCACAGAGCTTCAGCGGCTGCTTCGCGCCGTAATCTCCTGCTACAGTAACCCGGTTGTACATGACTTTGCTGCGGTGGCCTCCACGTCTGCGACGATTGCTTCGGTCCTTTTTTCTAGTTGACGTCCTTGCCATCATCAAGACCTCGTGGCCCAAAGTCATCAAATCCACTTCACCTAATTTCACTAAGTGTGTTAATGCCGCGGCCAATTCTCCAATTTTGGGTAGCACGATTTTAATATTTTCGGGCACCGATCCTATGCATTTACCAAGGATTTTCTGATAAATTCTGATTCTACTTAAAATATATGAAATTACACAGTCGCTCAGCTACGAGTCGGGCAAGACGCTGATGGCCGAGGGGCCTCAAGTTTTCCATGATCTGCTGGCTAGCAAGCTCCCAGCTGCAACCGGCCGCCCATTACCGCGATTGGAAGTTCGCTTCAGCAACTTGTCCCTCTCTGCCGACATCGCTGTTGCCGATGATCACTCTACTAAGTACGAGCTTCCGACAATCCCGAACGAGCTCAAGAAAACCCTCATGGGACCCAAGAAGAAAACCGTCCGTAAGGAGATCCTGAAAGGAGTCAGTGGTCGCTTCACGCCAGGCAAGATCACGTTGCTATTGGGTCAACCTGGATCCGGTAAATCGGCTCTCATGAAGATCCTCAGTGGCCGGTTCCCCATGACCAAGAACATCACATTGGAAGGTGAAGTGTCGTTTAACAACGTACCAAGAGAGCAGCTCAAAGACCGATTGGCGCAGTTCGTGTCGTACGTGAACCAACACGACAAGCATTTTCCAATCTTAACGGTTAAGGAGACTCTCGAGTTCGCACACACGTTCTGTGGTGGGAAATCTCTGGAACAAGGCGAGGGAATGCTCAACATGGCGTCCAGTGCACACAAAGATGTGGCTGCACTTGAACAAGTGAAGAAGATCTTCGCCCACTATCCCGAAGTTGTGATCCAGCAATTAGGGCTGCAAATCTGCCAAGATACCGTCGTCGGTGACAACATGTTACGTGGTATTTCCGGTGGTGAACGTAAGCGTGTGACGACTGGCGAGATGGAGTTTGGTATGAAATACGTGTCACTCATGGACGAGATCACCACTGGTCTCGACGCTGCGGCGGCATACGATATCGTCGATACTCAGCGTAGTGTCGCGCATCGGATGCACAAGACGGTCGTCATCGCCTTGCTTCAGCCATCCCCCGAGCTTTTCGCGCTGTTCGACGATGTCATGATCCTGAATGAAGGTGAACTCATGTACCACGGTCCGTGTAACAAAGTGGAAGCGTACTTTGAAACCCAAGCGGAAGGGATATCGCCGATTATCTACTGGATTTGGGCACCAAACAGCAACATCGGTATGAAGTTCCGCATCCAGTCAAACAACCGCGAAGTCCCGCTGAATTCGGCGAGAGTTTCCGGCTAACTCAGATGTATCAGGAGACTTTGAGCATCGTGGAGGCGCCGTATGACCCCGATTTGGTCGAAAGTGCCAAGGACATCATCGACCCCATGCCTGCTTTCCACCAATCGGTGTTTGCCAGTGTCATGGCGTTGCAGTGGCGAGCATTATTGATCACGTACCGTAACCAAGCGTTCGTGATGGGCAAGTTGGCTATGGTCATCATCATGGGGTTACTGTACTGTTCAATCTTTTACCAGTTTGACTCGACTCAGATCGCAGTGGTGATGGGCGTCATGTTCGCTGCCGTCATGTTCCTGTCCATGGGTCAAGGTGCCATGATCCCCGTCTACATCTCTGGACGAGCCATCTTCTACAAGCAACGTCGAGCCAATCTCTTCCGAACGGGGTCGTATGTTCTAGCGACGACAGTGAGTCAGATTCCGTTGGCACTAGCAGAGACGCTGATCTTCGGCTCTATCGTGTATTGGGTCTGCGGATTTGCGTCCGAATTTAAGCTGTTCGTGATCTTCGAAATCATCCTCTTTGTGTCGAATCTGGCGATGGGCATGTGGTTCTTCTTCCTAGCTGGTGTCTGTCCCGATGCAAACGTGGTGATGCCAGTGGGGATGGTCTCGATCCTGGTGTTTATCATCTTTGCGGGGTTCGTCGTGACCAAGAGTTTGATCCCCGACTACCTCATCTGGGCACATTGGATCAGTCCGATAGCGTGGGCACTAAAGCTATGGCGATCAACCAGTACCGATCAAGTGAATTCGACGTCTGTGTGTACGACGATGTCGACTACTGTGCCAAGTACAACGGCATGACTATGGGGGAATACTATCTGGATCTTTTCGACTTTGTGACGGAAAAAGAATGGGTGGCGTACGGGATTATTTATCTCTTGGCCATCTACGTCGTTTTCATGTTCTTGTCATATTTGGCACTCGAGTACGTTCGGTACGAGACCCCAGAAAACGTCGACGTATCTGTGAAGCCAATTGAAGATGAGAGCTCGTACATCCTCACTGAAACGCCGAAAGCAGCGAATAAACCGGACGTCGTTGTCGAGTTGCCAGTGGGAGCTCGTGAGAGGAACTTTGTACAGTACCTGTCACGGTAGCGTTCCAAGATCTGCATTACTTCGTTCCGGATCCGCATAATCCGAAGGAACAACTTGAACTTCTGAAAGGAATCAACGGCTACGCAGTCCCCGGCTCGATTACGGCGTTGATGGGGTCGACTGGAGCTGGTAAAACCACTCTTATGGACGTGATTGCGGGTCGTAAAACAGGGGGCAAGATTACGGGTAACATCATGTTGAGCGGCTACGAAGCGAGCGACTTGGCTATCCGCCGTGCTACGGGCTATTGCGAGCAGATGGATGTACACTCGGAGGCTGCTACGATCCGTGAAGCGTTGACTTTCAGCTCGTTTTTACGTCAAGACGCGACCATTTCCGACGCGAAAAAGTACGATTCGGTGAACGAATGTATTGAACTTCTCGGGTTGGAAGATATCGCAGACCAGACCATCCGCGGTAGCTCCGTGGAGCAGATGAAGCGCTTGCCTATTGGGCCCCAGCCAAGTGTCATTTTCCTTGATGAACCGACCAGCGGATTGGACGCTCGTTCTGCCAAGATTATCATGGATGGCGTTCGGAAGGTGGCGGATTCGGGACGTACTATCATCTGTACGATCCATCAGCCATCAGCTGAGGTGTTTTTCCTGTTCGACAGACTACTATTACTACAACGTGGTGGCCAGACTGCGTTCTACGGTGACTTGGGTGACAACTGTCGTAATTTGATCGATTATTTCGAAAACATCCCTGGCGTAGCTCCTCTTCCTGAAGGGTATAACCAGCCACGTGTGTGCTGGAGTGTATCGGCGCTGGTGTTGGACATGGGAGCACAGACGCGACTGATATTGTGTCGTTCTTCAGGAACAGTCCGTACAATCAGCAACTCGAAAGTACTATGGCGAAAGAAGGCATTACTACTCCGTCTCCGGATCTTCCGGAAATGGTGTTCGGGAAGAAACGTGCGGCGAATTCGATGACTCAGATGAAGTTCGTGGTGTGGCGATACTTCCAGATGTACTGGCGCACACCGACGTACAACCTGACTCGGATGTACCTCGCCATCTTCTTGGGGATTTTGTTCGGATTGATCTTCGTGAGTAACGACGACTACGCTTCGTACTCCGGATTGAATTCCGGAGTTGGTATGGTGTTCATGTCTTCGCTCTTCAACTCGATGGCAGTTTTCGAGAGCGTCATGCCCTTGACGTGTGCCGAACGTGAATCGTTCTATCGTGAGCGTGCGTCACAGACGTACAACGCCTTCTGGTACTTTGTCGCGTCGACGTTGGCTGAGATCCCGTACTGCTTTGTCAGCTCACTACTGTTCACCGTTTTCTTCTACTACTTTGTCGGGTTTACCGGGTTCTCGACGATGATCGTTTTCTGGCTCCAATCGTCACTTCTGGTGCTCATGATGGTCTACCTGGCTCAATTCTTCGTCTTCTTGACTCCTAGCGAGGAAGTGGCGCAAATCGTAGGAATGTTATTCAACTCGGTCTTTATGAGAGACCGCGAGTGCACACTTTTGCTGGTCACCGTGCTTGGCCAACACTTCGTCCGACGTCTGGAAATGGTACCGACTCACCGAGTCGCAGCTCCACACGCTGCCCATCTACGTCGTGTTCGTGGCCTGTCTTGTACGCTCGATCTGCTTCCGTACGCGTCTCCAGTTATTACTTTAGCCTCATGAAGTCATAGCCTCCTATCAGCAACTAAAATGTGGATCTTCGATTGACACAGAATCAATTTAGCTTAATTAGTGTGTAGCCTGCTGCATGCGTAGAGAAACTCGATAATCGAAGCAACGTCGATAAAGGAGCGCGTACTGTAATGGGTACATTGAAAAGTATCCATTTCAATTGAAGTTGGTTGAGTTATGGTCCTGTTGGTTTCCCTTTGGTTTGTACTTGGTCCGCGCCCACATTTGCGCGCGCTTTTACGGATGAAGGATATCCGCTCGTGGCTTGTGGCACCACCGACCTTGGCCAAGCCAGATCAGGCCTATGTGCCACCTAGTCTGTCCACCGAAGCGGAGGGTGGTCATCAAGACGCCGATCTCAGTGGCACACGTCGAGTCGTGATGTCTAGCACACACAAGCGTCCTCGCAGCACACCATGGCTCCAGACGCGTAAAAGGCTGAAGTTATCGGTTGAAGAATGCTCGTTAAAGAGACGTGTCCAGATATCTGGCGAAATAGTGGTAAAAGTATGAAAACCTTGTACCTTATCGTTTTAAAAGTGCATTAAGACTCTTGTAATTAATTTTTTTACAGGAACTCAAAGAAAATAGCATCGTTTTAGGCCCGTTTGGAAATGAGATGGTTGATGGAGGTACTGGCGATGAAGGTTTGAGAGACAAACTCAAACCGATTACGGCTCCGTCGGGGACTGGTATTGCAGATTGTACCAGTACGTTTGTGGAGAATGTGATTGATGTGGATTCTGGAGCTTCACTATGGACTGTCAACGGAGGTTCTAATGGTGGACAATTCGCGTCTGCGATTAAGGTGTCTGCTGATGTCACCGAAGAGATACCTCCACGAGGTTTGTGGATTGCTACATGCCAGCGATTTCAGTGTAGCCGTGGGTGGGGCTGCCGAGTTTTAAATCATGCCGGGTGCAGGAACGCTAATGGGAAAATTACCATGAAAAACGTCAGCCAAATAAAATGCACGACCCACGGCTGTACGACAATCGCATATTATGGGGTAAGGGGTAAAAAACCAAGACACTGCTCAAAGCACAGGTCTCCCAATGAAGCTGACATCATCACTCCGCGTTGCAAAGAGTGCGAGCTGATGGCTCGGAGCGCAAATCCACTCTACCAACCTCATTGCTACCGATGCTACTGTGATTTAAATCCAGATGCCGCGAAGAACTACCGCATTCGTGAGTTGGCGTTCACACAGAAGCTGCAGAAGACCTATCGGCTAATGAACTTAAACAAGAGAATCCCGGGCGGCAAGTCCAAGCGCAGACCGGACGGGTTTCTCGATCTTCCATCGCATTGTGTTGTCGTGGAGATCGATGAAGATCAACATGCAGCGTACGGATCTGCAAATGAAGCCCAGCGGATGGAAGAAATTTTTGAAGATACCAAGAACAAGACTGACTGCTATCACCGTCCGCCTAAATCCGGACAGGTACAAGTCCAAACTCGGAGTGGTCCACCCTCCAGTGGTCAAGTTTACAGCAAAAAAAATCATCACGAACAAGGAAGAATTTCAGAGCCGCTTCAAGGTGCTAAAGAATGCTGTGGAGTGTGCGGTCATGGCGATACCGAAGCCGGGTGAGAAGGCAGCAATCAGGGTAAAGGAGTTGTTTTTCGACGGGTTTGAGGATGTCGAGTAGTTTTACTTGGGTAGATCCTCGCAAATTGCTTTTTTCTTCTTTTCCAATTATTTTGATTTCACTTTATTCGACTTAATCCTTGCGCGAGCATATATGATAAACTATACTATACAAACTTAAGATACTTATTTAGAAGCGGGAGTTTGAGGCTTCCTTTTATGAAGCTACATTGCTGTTGCCAGTCAAAATACGAAGTTCGAGGACGGTGTTCCATCCGACGCGACGGATCCCAATATGGGATAAACTATACTATACAAACTTAAGATACTTATTTGGAAGCGGGAGTTTGATACATTGCTGTTGCAATTTTTTTTTGGGATGTGTATTCGTACCTAATTGAATTGCTCGCTCACTTCATGATAGCCCCACCGTGTTTATTTTCGGCATGTTTTATTAATAAGAACATTGCTCTCTTTTAAGGGGTATTTTCTCGCACTTTATGGAGAGGGGAAGATCAGTGCTACATTTTACCGCGAAAGCGCTATTTCCTTCCTCTCCCGTTTTAAAAGACATCTTACACATATAAACAAGCTTTGTGTTAATGATGATACTACGCCAAAAGAATACGGATACAAAAATGCCTAGATTAATCGAGGAAAATAACAAGTTGTCTTGTTGATTCAGACTGTAATGGTCCCCTCCAATTACATAAGTTAGATAGATACCTCTTGCGTTATTGCATAAGTAGACAGAGCATGCAAGGCCAAGTCGTCATTATCTGATTGATTGATAGTGGGGAAACAGACTCACTTATAAACCAATCGGGTGCTGACCTGTCTTTGAGTGGTTCACACGAGGCCAGGGGTAGCCGCCCTGGTCCAAAAAATCAGAGTTGAAATATTCACAGATCTAACCCTTGACTTTAAAATCGCAAGCTTCCTCTACACTACAGTGTAAGCTAGTACATGTAGCTGCAATTCTTCTATTCTGTCGGATTCAGCCCTCCAGCGTACAAGATCCCGTCGGGCTACGAGTGGCTGTACAAGATCTGCATCTTCAAGTTCCCGATCGCGAACCTCATTTCGATGATTTTTGCGGAGTGCGACGAGCTGCCGACACGACGCAAGCGTACGAGAACGTTGGATCTCAACTGGGTTGCCAACCCATGGCAGGGTCTTCGGAAACGGTCGGCCACATCACCATCAAGGAGTACACGGAGCAGTACTTTGGCATGAAACACCACCAGATTGCGCGGAATTTCGGCATTACCATCGGTCTCATTGCGCTGTTCCGAATCTGGGCGGCGCTGGCGATGCGTTATGTCAATCACCAGAAGAAGTAGTGACGGAGGACAGCGAGTAGCAATGCATTTATATTTTTTAGTTCTAAAAAAGAAATAAAGCAAAATAAATTCTAGAAAAAGAGATTTATTAAAAAAAACCCTAGTCTGTGGGGGGGGGCATGATTCAGAAAGCAACCGGCCAAGACTTCAGTGAAGTTGAGATAACAAACCTACATATAAACGGTGTCACATTTCACTTTTGCGGCCTGGTGGCTCGTCATACTTGGAGTTCACGTGCTCAGTGGGGTCTCTATGAAGCAATCGGTGCTTTTAGAAACCTTTTTGAAATTATGCATTTGACGCAGATTACTGATAGCATTGTGCCACTACTACTTCTAAATTTGAGCTAACATAACTTTTCATCGAGATTTCCTATTTCATCGAGAAAGACACTCATAAAATGCACTCTTATCGGGCAATTATAATCTGAGAACTGTAATACGCTTACCACTTTGGGTTATAAATTTACAACTGTCCTCATTTTAGCGGTTGTCCGCTTTTCGCTTAGAAGTTTGCAAGAGTGCAAATCAATCCAGATCGACAAAAGTACAAATTGTGATCTATAATTGGCTAAAATTACTGGCAAGAAGCTCAGTACCTTAAGGCTAAAAATGATGATTAAACTCAATACCAGTAACTCGATCTCTGTAGAATGTCAAATTCGTCTCGAGCTGGCCACTGCCATCGGTAACCCGACCGGGCTCAAGGCACAACTAGCCTGTGCGACAGCATTAAGACGGAGACTTTCGCAGCCGACAGCTTCACGTCTCATGATCTTGACGGCGGCTACAACGACCTGTTCCGTGGCGGAATGAGTGACGAGGCGAGCTCTGAATTTTACACCTCATACGATATCCGGAAGCGGCTGACCACCTTCAGAGTATTGACAGGGTCTTAACAATACATACTGCAACTTATAATGCTGAGATCTTTTAACTTCCACCGTGCCTAAGATACTCGCGAGTCGCACGCAGACACCGGACTTGCTGGATCACAGAACCTTTCCACCACGTAAGAAGCCCCCTCGCCGTGCCGTTAAGTTCTAACACACTTTTTTTTTTCAAATCACTATTTTACTGGAAAGACCTCGTAGAGGCTGTGCTACAGTTTGAGTCACGCTATCCTGTAATGCCCTAAGTTGCTGCATAGGAGTGTACCTGTCGCGTCTGGAAAAAAATATCAGTGCTCTAAAACCTCGACAACGTCTGCTATACTGCTGCAGCGAAAGTGTGGTTGGCCTTGATGTAAGGTTCTTCATTCACAGCGTGAGAATGTTTTTTGGAATGGGGTTGCTGCCAATTTCATGTCCATTTCAACTATCATTTTAGAGAGGGATGCTGTTTCTTTTCTCTTTGCCGTAAAAGATAAGTGGAATCAAAACTTAAAACAAACTGCATAAAGAGGAAAATGAGATTAATCTGGTCATATAGTGCTAAGAGCTATCAATCAATTTGCATACATATTTTACCTAATCATATGGATCTTAAAGGGACAAATCACACATACAAGGCTTCTTACAGAAAAATCGGAGCTATTATAAATAATTATTTTCTAGACCGGAGAGGTAAACAAGAAAGAAAATGACCCTGCTCTGCCCCGTCGTACACTGGAGGACTTATTCCGGGTCAAATTGTTTAGAGGAATTTCCATAAGTCAGTAATAAGTGGAGGGTTGGGAAGTACTATTCAAGTTTTAAAGCAAATAATATCACTATTTTGAAACACCAGGAACGCTTTGTAAAAACTGTGGGAAAATTTGCGAGAGAATTTTCAATCTATTTTTACTAGGACTCAACAGATCCGGTATTGCGATTGATCTGTCTAAAGAGGACGACGGCGTCACTTACGCCCGGCGTGAAAATGTGGCGGCTGA